CCTGGGAAACCATTGTTGCCAATCTCCAGGTGAGGGCTGGAGATCATTAAGAATTACAACTGCTCTCCAGATGGCAGAGATCAGTTTCCTGGAGTCAGGGCTTCAGAGCACAGAAAATGGTGGACTCTGTGGCAGTCAGGGCTTCAGAGCACGGAAGAGGCTGCAGGTGTGTGTGTGGGGGAAATGGAAAGCTGAAGAGAGAGGAGGAAATAAAGGTAGGTTGAGGACTGGCTGGGAAGGAGATAGGGTTGCCAACTCCAGGTGGGAAATTCCTGGAGATTTGAGGAATGGAACCTGGAGAGGGTGAGGTTTGCGGAGGGGTGGGACCTCAGACAGGTACAATGCCATAGACTCCACCCTCCCAACCAACCATTCCCTTCTGGGGAACCACTGTCGCCAATCTCAGGAGAGAGGTGGAAATCACTCAGAATTACAACTGATCTCCTGGAGGGAGGGGGGAAGAGATGGAAAGTGAAATCAGAGGGGCAGATAATGGCAGGGTGATTCAGGTTGATGCTTGGCTGGGAAGGAGATAGGGTTGCCAACTCCAGGTTGGGAAATTCATGGAGATTTGAGGGGTGGAGCCTGGAGAGGGTGAGGTTTGAGGAGGGGTGGGACCTCAGACAGGTACAATACCATAGACTTCACCCTCCAATCCAGCCATTTCTTCCTGGGTAACAATTGTTGCCAATCTCCAGGTGAGGGTTGGAGATCACTCAAAATTACAACTGCTCTTCAGGTAGCAGAGATCAGTTCCTCTGGGGGAAATGGTGGACTCTGTCATTATACCCTGCTGAGGTCGCCACAGCACATTGATGCTGAGTGCCCAAGGCGTTGGCACTCTCCCAGGGCCTCTTTCTAGAGATTGTCGTATTTATTTCCACAACGGGACTTAGTCCTAGTAAATAAATAAATATGAACCCAGACCTGGATAGCCCAGGCTAGCCCGTTCTTGGAGGCGAAGCAGGCTTGGCCCTGGGTAGTACTTGGATGGAATACCAGGGTTACTATGTGGAGGAAGCAATGGCAAACCACCTCCAAATGTCTCTTGCCTTGAAAACCCCATGGGATCACCATAAGGCAGCTGCAACTTGATAGCACTTTCCACCACCATTCCCATATGAACCTTCCTGGCCTTCCATATTTGGAAGCCCTGCTTCACATGCCCTCATCATCTGAGGATAGACCAGTGACATCCTGAGAAAAGGCCTTCTTGGTCATGTCACCAAAACTTTGACTTTCCTCCTGAGGGAGATTTGTCTGCCTCTATCATTGTCTTCTGCTAGTGGGTGTTTTGTTTGGCTTTCCCCCACTAACTGTTATCGACCCTCTTCCCTGGTTACGGTGTTGTGTGTTTATGTTTTACTGGGTTGTTTAAATGTTTTATATGCACTTGTATTTTAAATGCTGTTTCAATGTGTTGATGTTATGATGTCTTGATGTTTGAATAGTTTGATATTTGTTGCCCTGGGGGCCCTATTCAGGTGCAATAGCATCGCAGAAATGTTTTTGATAAATGATGTTGTAACATTGTCATGTAGGGTTCATTGCTATTGTTTCTCATCCCAAACCTACAGAACCCAGCCCAAATTCGCAAATAAATTGTGTGACAGTTTTTCTTAAATGGAATTTGCTTTGTGCACTCTTAAGACTTCTCAGCCTTATCTCACTTTCCATCTGAATGATAGCAAGGATGGGCACCAGAGAGATATGCTGCTTAAACCCAAGAGTTGTAAACCTTCAGTCTTCCTGCCAACTGTTGTAGGTAAGATGCAGCCTCCCACACAATGCCTACAACAGGCCTAACCTTGGTCCCACAGACAGGCAAACAAGACAGGCAACAACTACAGACGAAACTATAGCAGTACCTGTCATTGTTGAGAGAAAATTACCTGCTGGTACCATAGCTGAGCTGTCTTGACTCCTGCTCCCCAGATGTTGGAAAATACTTCCAGTACTGACACATTCTCGTTTATGTGGTCCAGCTTGCGTAGGTGCCCACTCTCCAGGATCTCCATAATCTTCTCTGCCATCTGCTTCCCAATGCCAGGAATCTTACAGGCTTCCTGAAAGAAAACAGTTGTCCAGAAGAAGGCTGAAACTCTAATCCACAAGGAAAATCTTACATGTTTTTAGCTTGTGTACCAAGCCTCAGTTTCCAAATAAGGGATTCTTTCACAGGTGTTGCCACATCTCCAGCCACCTGCAGGAGACCTCTTCCTAAACAGGCATTTGGAGATCATGAATTCTACACGAATAAAATGCACTTATTTTGTTCACTGTTTGGCAACAGGTCTTTTTATCTTCCCAGTAATGCAACTCAGAGCTTCTCTGAGTTTTTTGGTGGCTGGGGTGAGGGTAAAATTCTAACAGTTTTCATTTTAAGACAGAAGAATTTGGGGTGGCACAAAACTGTTTCTGAAAAAGATGTAAATGTCTGAAAAAATGTATGTTTTTGCCCAAAGACTATTTTTCAATACCTCCAAAGGAAAAAAAAACCGAAATGCTGGGTGGAATGCTGGGGGGAAAACTTTTTCTTTCGGAATGCCTGAAATGCCTTTAAGACAAGGTATTACTCACTCTGAATGTATGATATGAATATTCTTATGTAAGACAACATTAGATAATGATTATTCTTGTGTATACTATATACATACTCAAAATATTTTCAAGGAAATTTTTACTGCTTAAAACCCTTTATGATTAGGGGCCTACATACCTGAGGGACCGCCTTTCCCCATATGTTCCCAAGACAGACTACGATCAGGGTCCCAAAATCGTTTGGCTCTACCGGGCCCCAGAGAAACCAGGCTGGCCTCGATGAGGGCCAGGGCCTTCTCAGTGGCAGCTCCATACTGGTGGAATGGGCTCCCGGAAGACATCAGGGCCCTGCGGGACCTTTTACAGTTCCACAGGGCCTGTAAGACAGAGCTCTTCCACCAGGCCTTCAATTAGTGAGCTGTACCTAACAAACTAAGGCCCTGGCCCTAATAGTAATACCATCATTGACAACCTGTGCACTGCCAATATGACCCAGACTGAAATAGCAGCTGACTATACTTCTATGCTGATGCTACTAACGCCTCACCATCATTATACGACTTGCACTAGCACTTTATGTAATGTTTTTATATTTATATTTTATATGTTTTTCTGCTCTTCTGTCTAATACATTTTTATGTAAGCTGCCCTGAGCCTGCTTTGGCAGGGAGGGCGGGATATAAATTAAATAAATAAATAAATTTTGCCCACAATTCATACGCTATAATGTGTCTGATAATACACTATTGAAAAGGTCAATGTTTTAAAGTTTAACTCATCATTCAAGTGGCTACTAGTCCTGTTGTGACTGACTGAGACTTTTTCTGTCCCAATTATACACTGTTTTTTGTTCACTACAAAATCTGTTATTTCTATTTTCACCTTTCATTTTTTCCTACCTCTCAAGTGATGAAAACTAAGATATATGTGCTAACGTAGCACAGCACACAGCAGTTTGCAGCTCCCTCTTTTCAGCATTGTGTATATTAACAAATTTGGTTGTAGAACACTAAGACATTTATACTTTTAAATGTCATAAATGTGCCTTATACTATTTTAACTATAGCACTGAAATAAGTATAGGGTGGATAAGACAATATTGCATATATTCCAACTTTTCTTCACCTTTCCATTTTTTTGCAGAAAAACAACAACAACAACAAAACATTTCCAATGGCTGCAAAATGTTCAGAAGTTTTATGCCTCAGTAGCCCAAGCAGTAATTGACTAACAGTGGCCACAACCAGGGGCAGGCCATAAGCTCCTTTGCTCTTACAAACCTGCAGTGCTGCATAACTCCTAGCCTGTTTCTACAATGTAAAGTGCAACTGGGCACTATTCATGTGATACAGTCAGCTACCCCACATACTCAGCAGCTACTCCTTTTGCAGCAGCTACTCCCAACAACAGCAAATGAAAGAAGAGTAGAACTCTACATGGAAAAAAAATTAAGCCCTTGCTCCTATCCCAGTTACCTGGTAGGAAGTGACTGGCTTTGGGTAGCTCTTGAGTGCATTGATGGCTTTGGAGTAACCTAGAGCCCGCCACTTGTCTCCCTGGACCGAGTAGGCTTTTGCCAGCACCTCCAGCTTCTCCGTAATGCACTGATTCTGATTAATCTTCTTGCGTTCAGAGGACTGAGCACAAATCCACTTGCCAGTGGGAAACGTAACTGAGGATTCTCCAGAAGAAATGTGCAGGTCTCGGCCTGACCTCAATGCCTCCAGCTCTCCTCGAGTGACCTCAGGATCTTCCCCTTCACTTCCCTCTTCATCAGAGACCCTCTTTAGAGAGACACAGCAATGAAATACAGCCTCAGCTCCAAGCAGACTCTAAAAGGCTACGTGTTCAGTCGTAAAAGATCCATACCATACTTAAGTACAACCAGAGTGAAAGGCAACAAACATTAGCCAAACTAGAATTTGCACGTTCCCATTTTCTTCCCTCAGTTATAGTGAATATCTCCAAGACTAATACACTACCTTGAGCAGATCTCTGGAGAGGCAGCATATACATTTTCTAAAGAAATAAAGAAATGCAACTGGCTGTTGGGTGAACAAAATGCTGTGACTACTAAATGAAATTGAGTGTGCATACAAAAATTCATGAGGAACGTTGTCCCTGCTAGCAGCAGCAACTACAGCAGCGCAATCTGTATCGTCTGCATCCTACAGCCACTAGAGGGCAACAACATTCCGTCATGAACAAATTGGGCATTCTATTAGCAAAGGAACATAAGCCACGTAATAGTAGTTAACTAGACAAGCAGCAGCATATTCGTTAAGGTCTGGTCATGATGATATATGCAGTATCATACTAATTTACTAGCTGATTTTAATAATGTATTCACAGCGGAACTGACATACAGGTCTCTTAGCCCATAATGGAATGAGATTGGTATTAGGTTGTCAGAGGACTGCCTTGATAGGTTTGCAAACCCAGATAGCAGGTCATGCATCTTAATCATAGAAACAACTTGCTAAACATTCATTATACATTTTAAACATACATTATACATTATACATGTGAGAGCATGTGAGAGCAGAGGTCCATCAGTGGCTACTAGCCACACGGTATAGATAGGGGCTCTGGGGCAAGTGATGCTCTGTCTTCTTGGTGCTTGGAGGGGGGAGGGTCAACAGTGGGAGGGCTTCTAATGTCCTGGCTCCACTGGTGGACCTCCTGATGGCACCTGGTATTTCTGGCCACTGTGTGACACAGAGTGTTGGACTGGATGCGCCTTTGGCCTGATCCAACATTGGCGTCTCTTATGTTCTTATGTTCCTATCATCCTTGATGCGTAGGTAGACGGAACCAAGACTGACGCAGATCCACAACTGTAGTAATTTAGGAAAGTACATAGTATGTGCTTTCAGGGGAAGGGCCAGAGCGAATTTCATTCGTCCCTTTCAGAAGAAAAAAACTAGCTGTATCTATACAGCAACCTCAACTGAGTAAATCAACCCCGAACGCTGAGAGTCCCCCTTACTCTAGATGGAGCCTGGCATTGGTTTGTTTATCAGGAAATCCTTGGACCAACCTACAAACCACAGATGTGGGATAGTCACTGACACTCACCAGTGTGCAAAGGCCTGCCCCTTTGGCTTCCCACTGTCCTGTGGAATTGGTTGCACTGCAAGTAGAGCTGAGCCCTGTCTGTAATTCAGCCTTAATCTCCTGGACTGCACCATCCGTCTGGGACTGGATCTTCTCCTCATCCAGAAACTGTGATTGTCTCTTTGAAAGGTCTGCCACATCCAGGTACCTGGCAAGAATCAATACACAGCAGAACCCAGTCACTGGATCTGAAGACATCTAAAGGCCCAAGAAAGCTGATAAAGAGGGTGCTTGTGCACTATCTCTGTGGATGGATGTCAATGTCCTTGCACCCCTGCATGCTGCTAGCAATGTTAATCTGCCCTGGCTTCCTTTATTCGTAGAAAGCTGTCAATACTCCTCAGCTGTAACATGCAGCTACCCAGAAGCTTATGAACTTTTCATAATTGTGGGTTTCACCTGCACTGCAGTAACCCAAACTTTGGTTTTTGGCTAGCAGTGAACAGTGTGTCTGTTTATGAATCACATGCACTATTTGCTGCAAGTCAAAAACAAAAATTTCACAAGTAGAGAAACCAAACTGTACATTTATCATAACTTATATAGATTATTCAGTTGATGATAGGATTGAATAACTCAGTCAACTATATCTCACTGACCCATTAGATTGTGGATAAAAGTATATGTGACTGTATTATATTTCATACATCTGTTTTTGCAAGGTTTACAGGCACCCAACTTTTTCACAAAATATGCAAAAATGAAATAGCAGAAGGTCCTTTTGGGTTACTGCCTGGGAGGCATAAGGCAACTTTGTGCATTCCCAAGAGAAGAATTCAGTTTCTATTTACAACTTGGAATGGAGAAAGTATAAAGGAAGGTGTAATGATTTCATATTTTGGTGTGTGTGTTTCTTTAAATGTTTAGTGTGACTGCAGTAATGTAAGGAGAGTGATAGAGATAGATAAGTGTGATGTGATTGGCTGATGACTGAGAGTGTGGGAGGAGAGATGTCTCTGAGGGAATTCAGTGTTCATGAAGAGACTAGTGTGGAGAGTTTTTGTGAGAGTCTGTATGACAGAGGAAGCAGTTGGGATTTAGTTAGCCTGTGTGGCTATATATGAGAGAGAGTTTAGCCTGTGTGGCTATGAGAGAAAGTTCAGCCTGTGTAGCTATATGAGCAAGAGAGTTCAGCCTGCATGGCTATATGAGCAAGAGAGTAGCCTGTGTGGCTATATATGAGAGAGTTCAGCCTGTGTGGCTATATCTATATATATATATGAGAGAGATATAAACCTCTCAGAGTTGAGTTTTGGTGTATGAGAGACTGTGGGTGATGCCAAGTTTTTTCAGTTATATTTTCTTTCTTCAACATCAGTTCAAAAATACCCAGAAACCCATTTTGTTCTTTTATAAATAAATCATTATTTGTTTAAACTTATCCCAGAAATTAGAACAGTCCTTCCTCAGGGCCACATAGTCCTCTGAAGTGCCCAGACTCCTACCTGTCTGGGATGAAGAGACTGTAGCCAGTTGTGCTCAACATCTTCTGCTCTGCCACACATGTACTCAGCCAGGAAGCCTTCACCAGTTGCAGTCCTCGGGGTAACTTGGCTAGTTTCAGGAGCCGGAAGGCCCTGTCACAATCCATGCCTTCATCTAATATAACATGTGTTATGTCTGAGGAAAGCTGGCTGCACACTCGCCCTCCATTATGAAAGATCTGCTTACGAAAGATCTCAGCCCTGGCCTGGCCCATTCCTGCTTGCAGTACATAGGCCACAACAGGTTCCAACCATCCTGCTAAGAAAAGCCATAGAGAAAAAGACTCGGTGAAGTGGTGATTATTTTCATGCCTCATGTGAAACTGACAGTTTGAACTAACGTACAGGACACATGTTGTTCTGCAGCCCATAGCCAACATCTTACAGCACAATGATTCGACTGAACTCTTCAGAGGTTAAGCAAACTATTCGTCCATATTAATCTATAATTCATCAAGGGCAAGCTATCACATAACCTCAGTTCCAGGACAAAGACAGGGGAAGGAAACAGAAGACTTACAATGCCCGTTTCTAGTTTCTTCTGCTTTCAAGACTTTTGCGGGGCCCACCTTCTGTGAATCATCTTTGATCTTCTTCCTTTTAGGGAAAGCTTTGACAATTCCTTGAAGCTCCATAAAACATGGATCGCTTTCTCCCAAAACAGACTAAGCAGCCTTACTAAAGAAAACCATAAAGACATAAAATAATTACTAGGATCATATTTGTACACTAAAGGAATTTCTAGATCAGAATGAATTTTCCATCTTTGAAATTTCAACCACATTGTGACCCATGACAACAAATATTTCAGAAAGTCCTATGGGCAGCTTAAGGCCAGTAGACATTAATGAGTTGGAAGACTTTGGCATGTCTACATGAATGGGATAACTTCATCCTGCAATGATCTTTGCTTAAGACTAACTGTAATGGCAAACAACCAGCCAGCAAATTGGAAAACCCTGCAATAATGCTGCAACTACAGTTCAGCCGAGTGTTTGGAGGGCACTATGTACATTCTATAGCAGATGAGAGTCTACCATCTGAGATCTAACATATTAAGAGAGAGCATAAGAGAAGCCAATGTTGGATCAGGCCAATGGCCCATCCAGTCCAACACTCTGTCACACAGTGGCCAAAAATACCAGGTGCCATCAGGAGGTCCACCAGTAGGGCCAGGACACTAGAAGCCCTCCCACTGTTCCCCCCTCCCCAAGCACCAAGAATACAGTGCATCACTTGCCCCAGATTGAGAGTTCCTAATAGCCACTGATGGACCTCTGCTCCATATGTTTAGGGAAAGTGTTCCAGCCCTTTGATCATTCTAGTTGCCCTTTTCTGCTCTTTTTCCAATGCTATAATATTCTTTCTGAGGTGTGGTGACCAGAATTGCACACAGTATTCCAAATGAGGTAGCACCATCGATTTATACAGCATTATGATACTGGCTGATTTGTTATCAATTCCCTTCCTAATAATCCCCAGCATAGTGTTGGCCTTTTTTATTGCAGTCACACACTGTTTCGACATTTTCAGTGAGTTATCTACTATGACTCCAAGATCTCTCTCTTGGTCAGTCTCTGCCAGTTCGGAACCCATCAACATGTATTTATATTTAGGATTTTTTCCCCCAATGTGCATTACTTTGCACTTGGCCACATTGAACCCCATTTGCCATGTTGATGCCCACTCACCCATCCTCGACAGATCCCTTTGGAGTGCCTCACAATCCTCTCTGGTTTTCACCACTCTGAACATTTTAGTGTCATCCACAAATTTAGCTACTTCACTGCTTACTCCCAACTCCAAATCATTAATAAACAAGTTAAAAAGCATTGGATCCAGTACTGACCCCTGTGGTACTCCACTGCTTACCACCCTCAACTGTGAAAATTGCCCATTTATACTCACTCTCTGTTTCCTATTAATTAGCCAGTTTTTGATCCACAAAAGGACTTGTCCTTTTATCCCGTGACTATTTAGCTTACTTATGAGCCTTTGACAAGGAACTTTATCAAAAGCTTTCTGGAAGTCAAGGTAAACAACATCTATTGGGTCCCCATTGTCCACATATTTGTTCACCCCCTCAAAGAACACTAACAGGTTAGTGAGACAAGATCTTCCCTTACAGAATCCATGCTGAGTCTGCCTCAATAGTTTTTGTTCATCAATGTGCCTACTAATTCTCTCCTTAATAACAGTTTTCACCATAAAAACACCATTAAAACATAGTAGATCCAAAGATCGGTTGGCATGATTCTTCATGTTGCACTTACAAAATAATGGTGTTACTGTAGGAAAATGGGTTTTGATGCCATTGGGCATTACAACAATGGTGGATGAGTGTTACTGAAAAACAAATTAACCCTAGAGCACTGATACTCACTCAGAGGCTCAAGAGCTACAGGTGGCTCTGACATGCCACCTGTAGCTTTTCTGAGCACCATTCCTCAATGCAGTACCAGCCCTTGTTCCAGGAAAGTGAGCAAGGCCATTGCCCTGTAGCCTTTGGAGTTAGCAGGTGGTTCCCACTTTCAAACAGGGACTGGAGGATGGCTAAGCTGCAAGCAAACTGGCCACAGAGGCTTGTGATAATGTTGTTCTCCTTTCTCAATGAACAGTTTGCCTTCCTCCTGTGAGCACCCTGGCAATCTCACTTCTCTTGACCTGCTCTGTGCTTCATAGGGCTGCCAAACCGCGGCGGGGGATCCGTGTGTCTAACCTGGTTCTCCCAGATTAGAGTCCATGTACTTAACCACTATACCAAACTGCAGCCTTTAGTGCAGCATCTTCTGACATGTGTACCATCTACCACTAAAACCAGAACTGCCCAGGATGGCATTTTCACAAAGGGAGCAGAGAGCTGGCAAAACAGAAGTGTGCAGGAGGGCCCTTTTGGTAAAGGTGATAATGTACTTCAATTGGATTTAAAAATCTTTTTCCTCTCTTTCCCCCCTCTACCTTCATGCCACATTGTCTATTATACATATTGTACTGTCTTTAACTCAGTGTTCTCTATTTGTGAAATCCAGTTCATTGGACCCTGTAATTTGTGTAATCTAGGCTACTGTATTATACCGTTTTCATTCCATTGTTCTTTGTGTAAACCAGTTTTATTGCATTATTCACTGAACATATTATACTGGTCTTTTTCACATTTTTTACATTATAACATTACATTACAGTGTCAACAAGAAAGGCGGATGGTTAATGCAGTAAGTAGGTAAGCAAATACCATGAATCCATGTGGAGAGCCCTAGAAGCTAAGAATTGGGGGTAGCATGTGCGGTGCTTTAAAAAAAAAAAAAGGTACTGGGGCTTCTGAATTCCTGTAAGCCTCCCCCCTACTCTCTGGTCTTGGTTTTGTGACAGCAGTGAGAAACCCTGTGTCTGGTAGCACAATAAGGCTTGTTCAGACATGCAGGATAATGAGATAGCAGAATGCACTGCAACACTTCAGGTTGTATGTGGAAAACCACGTTTTGAAATACTCTGTACTTTTTTTTTTAACACTTCTTGCAAACAGAAAACCAGTATAACAAGCGGGGGGGGGGGTCCCCGCAGCTTTATTTCTGCTGTGCTAAATCTCCATTTGCACGGCTTTATTTTTTTTTAAAGCAAAGAAACATTCAAGGCTGGAATTCACCAGTCCGAAAAATTTGTGTGTGTTAAATGCCATCAAGTTGCTTCCGATTTACAGCGACCCTCTGAATTAACATCCTCCAAAACTTCCTATCACTGCCTTGCAAACTGAAGGCCGTGGTTTCCTTTAAGTCCGTCCGAAATAACCGCTATCCATTCTTCCATCTCGTGCATTCTCTCGTACGTGTGCCTCAATCCCCGGTTCTTTTTAAACAGTTTCACAATTGAAGACAACTAACGAAATGCTGTGGATCTGATTTTGGGAAAAGACTAACTGACCACGACGAGAGGAGAAGCTGGAAGGAGGCTACTGCACTGCCAGAGCATCTCTCTGTAGTTCCAATAAGGAGGCGATACCGGCCGGAACCCAGACCTTGTCTAGCGACCAATCCCACCCCCACCCCATTATGGTAATCTGAGCGATACGGAGCCCGCAAACTGAACATGGGGGGCCTCGGCGAAGGAGTCTATTCTCGTCTTCTTTCACTTACCGAGGGAGGCACAGTGGGAAAGAAAGGGAAGGAGTCCGGAATTCTCTTCCGGGTCAGGTCAGATGAGGCGGAAGTGTAGGCCGGTTGCTCTGGAGATGCGTCCATCTGCAGTATGGCTGGGGACAACTGGCTGGCGCAGTTGCGCTCGGCGCGCAAGACCGCTTTGCTCGGGGACGGTAATTGGAATCGGGCCCTGCACTAGACGCGGGAAAGGGGGGCGGGGGCTTGGAGAGATCCTGCAGCAGCGAACAAGTAGTAAGCACGAGTGCGCGTAATGGGGTAGCCGAGTGCCTTTGGGAATGAGCGAGGCGCCGGGCCCTTCAGACTGTGAAAAGCCGGCAGCGCAGCCGACCCGATTTTGCGCCTCTCAACTGCCACATGTTTTGTTAGTCTTTAAGGTGCGCTACTAGAGGCTTGCTCTTTTCGAATCCCGCTTACCTGGAAACAAGCCCCACTGAACACATGGGACTGACTTCTGCGGAAGCATATAATGCTTACTTAAAATATGTCCCAGTCCAGAGTTCTGTGGCCTCCTGCACCTAAACCTCTAGTTGAGTAGGGCGGGATCGAGGCTAGGGGATGTGGGAATGGTGGTATGGCTTGTCCCCTCTAAGCTGAGTGTGAGCTAGCCCACAGCTTTTTAGCCTCCAGCTCACACATTTTTGTCTGTGCTCAGGAAGGATGGCTCCAGACCAAACTAATTTATGCAGTAGCCAAATCGTTTGCTCACAACTTTAATGCCATAGCTCACAAAGCAGAATTTTTGCTCACAAGACTCCACAGCGTAGAGGGAGCATTGGTGGTATGTGGGGGGATTCCCCCCCCCATCTTTTTCTGCAGACTCACCCACCTTCTGTTCTGCTTAGGCAAGCGAAAAATCCATTACTTGTTTGACAATGGAAAGGAGATGGCTGAGGAGTATGACATGAAGACCAACCAGCTGCTTCGTAAGCCAGTTTCTTTGTTTAGAGAGTGGACAGTGACAATGGGAGCCTTGGCTTGTGGTTTAACATGGGGTAGGAGGCTGAGCAAGAGCCGCAATTTAGCATTTTGTCATTATTGCACATAATGCAGGTTTGCAGGGACTTGATTTCAATGGCAAGAGTTTTCCATCCGAATGTTTATTTTATTTGAGCTGTTGTATTACTACCTTTCTTAAAATCAAGGTGGTTTAGAAATGTTAAAATATCAACATATTTAACGATAAAAAATCCAGCAGTGATACCATATAATTTGAGGACAATATATTGTCAACACCTTCACTTCAAAAAGAATCTCATCTGAGGAGGTGCATGACACTACAAAACCCTCTGCGGAACCTCACAAGAAAAATATTAATTTCTGTGTTGTGCGAGGAAAGTTGGGTGACTTGTTTTACTGTCCACTTAAAACAGCAATATCTCAAGTTCAGAAGGCATAGAGTAGAATCATCCTTAATATTGGGAGGAAATTCATACTTAGCATCATGGGAGTGATGTATATATACTCCAAGGAAAGGATGGCCTTCTAGCATATGTGTTTGTGCTTTATCTGAAAGAGATCTTCAGCAGATGGTATTGCCTTGATTTAAAAATTTCTGCCCAAGTAGCATCTCCTCTAACCTTTCCAAGCATCAAAAGAACCCCAGTGTACAGAGTTGGCTTTTGCTGGAAAGTCTCTTCCCCACCTGTGTCTTTTCCTTCCTCTGCAGTGAGGAAATGGAGAGAGAAGAATGCTCTGGGGGCTTATGGCAGTTGGCAGGTCGAAGTGGGAGAGCCAACCATGCCTGCAGTGGGAACCCTGGATCGTGAGCTCATAAAAGAGAGTAGTACCAATGTATGTATGCCATACTTCTATTTGTATCACTGTAATATCTCAGAGTGGTCTTATTGTGGAAACATTCTGAGATGGTATTTTTAGAGGCAGAACATAAGTTTCAGGATGTTATCGTGTAGCTCAACTATGTCATGATTTTTATGGGAGGGAGAAAAGCAGTGGTTCAGATAGCACTACCTTGGTTGAGAAGCTTGTACATAGTGCCCTGCTAGTTGATTAGTTCACACCCCAAGTTCTGGTATAAATTGATGAACCTGCCTTACACTGAATCAGAATATACAATGTATGCTGGTATTATTCTGACTGGCAGTGGATTGCTTAAGCAAGGGAATCTTGGATCGTCTTCATGCAATGCAAGTGCTCTGCCACTTAGCTATGGCCCTTTCGCAATGACAGCAGTTGTCACTGTTAGGTTAGCCAAGGGGTATTCTGTGCTGTTGACCTCACTATTCAACATGAGGTGAACAATATCCTAGTATGTCATTTAAACTTAGGAACAAGTGCTCTGCTTGATTTGTGTGTGTGGATAGGCTCCTGTCACCTCTATAGGAGACAATATTTGTATCCTCAGCACATTTCTGTTGCTGTATCTTATTTTCTGTTTCTGGCCTGAATCTCTGATAGCCTCCTTCCTGCCCCTTCCTCTGTGCCATATTTAATGTGAAAGTATGGCCCCTATGTAGGTAAAAAAAATAGCAGGATGCACAGAGGAAGGGGCATGCTTTGATATAGGTCTCTGTAAACCCAAGGAGAACCCTGGGTTTGCAGAAAAATGGCCAACTTAACAACTGTGGGCTAAAAAACCACAGAACTATAAAAACACCAATTGTATTTGTGCTGAGAACATGGGGGGTTCAAGGTGGTATTTAGGGTTGGTAGAATGGTGAATTGTAACTGAAAACTGGTGCTATATAAAAAAGTAACTTTAGTTGAGGTAATCAGGTGCATGGAGTGGGAGAGGAGATACCACAGGGGCCGTAAGGGTGAAGAAGAAAGAAAATAGAAAGCAGAGGATGGACCAGGTGTGTGGATAGGCAAAGAAAAAATATTGGATGGGGAACCAGCAGGTGTGTGGAAGAACACAAGAGCGGGGGGGGGGGGCAGAAGCAGAAGGAACCAAGTAGGACAAGCCAGATGGAGCAAGAGGAGAGAAGCAGGAGCTAGCAGAGTGGAGGGGGTAAGATTTCCTTTCTCCCACAGGTTCACCTCTTGTCTGACTCTACTTTGTGTATCCTGAGCAGGCCCTAGATGCCTTGAAATGATGATAAATGCAGAGCACCAGAAGCGGAAACTGTCCCACAATGATGTGGGATAACCAAAATATAAGCACACTGTTGTAGCCCAGAGGGGCTCAAGCCTTAATATTGCTACTTGGATCTAAGGAAAAAGACCAACTACCTAAATATACAAAATTAAGAATCCTCACATATGCCATCCCAAGGAAACCTTAGATTACTGTTTATTCCTTATGCACAGGCAGTGGGCTAACCTCTAGCTTTTTCTCTAGCCTGTCTTTATGCGAAAAGATACCAAGAACAGCTTCCAGTGGCGGATTCGGAACTTGCCATATCCTAAGGATGTTTACAGTGTTTCAGTGGAGAAGGATCAGCGCAGCTGTGTTATCCACACAACAAACAAGAAGTAAGCACAGTGGGCTGAGTTAACTCAGGGTAGGATGGAACTGGGGTAGATTGCCAGATTGTCTCGGGGACTGGAAGCCACAGAGAGCTCTCTTTATTGTAAAACTCTACCTTCCTGGCTGACAGAATAACTGAAGCAAATCCATTTCCCTCCTCTTCTCCCAATTTTTGATAAAGAGCACAGAAATTTGGAAACAGTACACTTTTTTCCTTTCTAATGCCTTACCTCCTTTTGTGCTATCCCCAGTAATTACCTAGAGATGGTGCTGTTGACAAAGAGCTCTTCATTTCTGTTTAGCCAGTTATGCGTGTAAGATAAGGTTGCTCTGAGGACAAAATGAGGATAAGAAGTACTATTAGTGAGGGACAAAGAAAGACCAAGGATGTGGCCAGGAGCTATCACATTCTTCACAGTGATGGCTAGAACAGATTAACCCTTTGGGCTTTCCATCTTAGTGCTCTGGCTGTCTGACCATAATTAGGCAGGTGCAGGATCAGTTTCCTGGTGCCCTCCTGTCTTCTTGAGAGGTACAAAGTTGTAGATTTGAATGATTTATGAGTATCCTAATCTTTCTGCAGAATCACAGTCTTATACCATTTTAGGGTCCCCAACAAAAGTGGGCTCAGATGCACAGAAAAGTATGCCTTTACACAATGTGTGGAATTTGGTGCCACAAGATGTGGTAGTAGCTTTAGAAGGTGATTAGATTAGAGGATAAGTTTATCAACCTGTTTGGTATGAAAGTTAAAAGGAACCTCCATATTCAGAGGCAGTTTATCTTTGAATATCAGTTGGGAGATGAGTGATGGGGGGAGGCATAACCTTCATTCCATTTGTCTGCACTTTCCTAATGTGTCTGGCTGCCCCTAATGGAAACAGAGTGTAGGACTATTTATTTTGATCTTGCCTGTTTTTAAGGTAAGGCTTTCATCTCTAGCAAGGCTCACTATTCTCCATCCCTGCAGCTTTCTAGATTCCCCCCCCCCCCAGAAAGCTTTTAAGACTACAGCAGCTTATCAATTTTGTGTCTCTTTTCTCTTTTTACTTAAGTCACATGCCTCTGCTGTGGTTATAGTTGTACATCATAATGTTATGATAGATTTTGATTTTTTTGTAATCTGCCTTGGAGGCAAGAAAGGGAACCTAACTTGAGTTTATGGTTCCCAAAGGACCTGACCATTGTGCTAATTTGTACAGAAAAGGACAAAAATAGTGTAAATCTGGCTTTGGTCTTCCATACAGTTATTCTGCTCAATACTTTCACTGAAACTAAGCTTTTATTTAGACCAAATGCAGATTTACAATCCACACAAGTTCTTGTGTTCCTGGTAGATAATACTTCTTTTCCTGGAAAGGGGGGGGGGGGGCGGGGCGGCATGATAAGAGACCAAGTTGCATTTTTTTGTGATGAAGAGAAGTCTTTTGCCTTTCATACCTTTATGACTGACAAACTCAGCAGACAATACTGTTCTTGGCATGGAGATGTGATATGAGAGAACACTGAATATCTGCTTTGCAGCTATTAAAGGCACAGAAGTCCTGCCAGAAAACAGTTGCCCTAAGAGTCCTCCAGAAGGAGAATACTGCCACCCACTTTAAGTCATTCAGTGTTTTCCCCTCCAGCCACAGCAAAAGGCTACTCAAGTGGGATTTGCTCCAGCCCTTTTGCCGTAAAACAAATCCATTAAACCAAACTTTTCCAAACAGGCAAAGCCTTCTTGGCCACAGCAGAATCAATTATTGCAGGGCGAGGTAGCAGTTAACTATACTGGAAGCAGCAGATCTTTTCCCTTTGATCTTTTCACAGATTTTAGTTGGAAGCCAGACCAGGTATTTTTACCCTGCTTGGGGCGGGGAGCAAAGTTGGTGTTCCCAATGATGGCTCCCTAGGCTCTTTGAAACACTGGGCTTCTCCTAGGATCTGCTTTTTTATTGTCTCAATCAGTAAGAAGTTAACACTTCCTTAACATGTCTTTGTGTTCATCTAATCTTTGCTGTTTAACCTTTGACACCTCCACTATTATCCATGTCTGCCACCTTTCCCAAATACACGCAGAAGGCTCTGAGCCCTGCGGTAACATTCCTCCAAAGCCAGCAAAGCAGCCAGAGTTGTTTGGCCTTTGTGTGCATTCTCATTAAGACTTGGACAATAAAGGGTTCATAGCAGTTCAAGCAATCAACCTCTGAGCAAAACTGGCTTAAGGGGAAGGGCCTGCTTCTGGATCTGACATCAGCAAAAAAGCTCTTCAGTTCAGCACACCAGTAGTATCTTGATACAAGAGAAGTTCATAGAGAAAGACTTCCAAGTATCAGAGGGACCAAATGGAAGCAATACTAGAAGACAGAGTGAAGCGAAATTTGCTTCTGGTTTACAGATGGCAAGAAAGTTCAGTAAATGTGTGATGGCATTTACACATGCCAGTGACGATTCAAACAATAAAGGAGTAAGCTGAGATTCAGTTCGAAGGGTTCTCTTGCTGCCCAGCTTCCCTGTTCAGGGAGGCATGTTGCTGCCTCACCATGTACCCAGCATTCTACAGTCACGTTTGGGAGGTACTCAAACCCTAATCTTTGCTGGCCTGAGATGGAATGAGTAAAATACATTTTTCTTTGAATGTTCAGTTTATCACTCTATTTATATCAAAATATAATTCAGGAACGAAATCTATAAACAATTTATCACTCTATTTATATCTCTATTTATATCAAAATATAATTCAGGAACGAAATCTATAAACAATTGCTCTCAGTGCTGAAGACTAGTAGAATAGCAGAAATTTGCCTTACCCTCACATTCTCTCCCATGCTTGCCTTCAGGTACTACAAGAAGTTCTCTATTCCTGACCTAGACAGATTCCAACTGCCTTTGGACTGCAGTGCTCTGAGCTTCACGCATGCCAACAACACACTGATTATCACAGTAGGTATCAGTAAGGCTGAGTTGTTAGCATACTACCTCCATCCAGCCAGAGGTGCGACTGACTCACGGCTTAACCATCTCACCTGGTGGAAATTCCTAGCTCTGTTGTCATTGTCGTCCCTTCCTTTGCCTGAGGGTCCCAGCTGTGCACCAGCCCCCATGGCAGTAACTTTGCCAATCCCTCTGGATGCTACCTCTGGCAGCTGGCCCACAGGAATGTATCCACAGACCAGAGTGAGCCCTGAACCTAGCCAGGTGTGCCTAGAGGCAGCGCTGTGTTCAATCGGTACTGGCAAGCAGACCACCCTGTCAGTACCAATGACACCTGAATGATGGCATGTGCTGGGGAGGGTCCAGCCTTTTTTGGAGGAAAGCCCATATGGGGCTGGTGGTGCCCCTGTGTGCCATGGTAAGAGTTCAGATGTCATGGGTGGGCCAAGCATCATTCCCCACCTGGGCTGAAAGGAGGAGAGCGCCCCCCCCCAACTACTGGTGCAGGCATCGGGATGCCCCCAGTGTCAGGACAAGGTCCTGTACCCCAGCCCGCAAACCCATCCATGGACTGGGATACGGGACCCCTCCACCAAGGGGAGGCTGAAGGTGCTGCCACATAGTAATACTGTGGAGCACGGCACAAACTGCGAACAGCTTCACCACTGCCAGAGGCTGCATAGTTCTGCAGTCCCCTGTGTGGGGTAGGCATCAGAGCCACATCTTCAACTGGCTGAATACCCGCTCAGTGACCATGTGTGTTTGTTGGTGGGCTTCGTTGTAGGCTGCATGGTCCAGTAGGTCATCTTTAAGATATGGCATCAGCAAATACGGAGCATGGGATACCTCTGTGGTCTCCTGGAGGAAATGGCACGAGAGGTGTCAGGGATAGTGTCCTTTGCTGTATGCATGCCCAGCCATGCCCACCATACTAACCCAGGAGCCATCCTTTGCCCTCTAGCCAAGCAGCCAACAGGCGATTGAGGCCAGATGTAGCAAAGAACTGGGAGTCATGGATGCTGCCTGGGAACTTGGTGGTCACAAGAGGCCTGAACTTACAGGCTATAAAAGTGGTGACAGTTATGGTATAACTGCAGCCCCTCCCAGGGGGCTTTGCGGGAGCAGTCAGTGGCCCCCATCACATCGGGAAAGGCTCCAAATCAAAGGCTCCCGGACGTGCGCCAGCATGGCATCCAAAAAGCTGTGCAGGCAGCTGCTAGTCAAGAACTGTGACATTTCAGGCACCTCTGTGACAAACAGTGTTCCTTCTAAGCTGAGTTAGTGTGAGCTAGGTTTCAGTTTTTTAGCCTCCAGTTCACAGATTTCTGTCTTGGCTCAGGAAGGAGGGCTCCAGAGCAAACTAATTTATGCAGTATCCAAATCGCTCGCTCATGACTTTCATGCCAGTAGCTCACAGAGTGGAGTTTTTGCTCACAAGGCTCCACCGCTTAGAGGGATCATTGGTGACTACACCCGGGGAGGACTGAGTGAGCAGGAACCTCAGGGAGAGGAGGATATTCTGCAAGATGGGGATGGCATGAGAAGCATGAGCCTGGCCATGGAGGGCTGGCCCAAGTTCCTTGCACAGAGCCTGGATGGTGGCTCTGTCTAGACCAAACCAATCGAGGCAGATGCTGACCAAAAGACCAGTACCGATAGCCATGGCACCTCCTCCGCCTTCACTGTGCCACACAGATGTACGGCACTGGTAGCAAGTGAACGTGGTGCACCCCAAGCATGGGAGGTAAGGGCAGAAGGGAGCACCATCCTGCCTGTGGCTGGCTTGGCTCTGCAGAAAACGGGGATGGCTTTCACAAAGGTGGTGGGCAACCAGAGTCACAGTCATCTACGTGGCTGGTGTGTGTCCCCCCCCCCCCCATGGGTGGCTCCTTGCTCACTGGCCTCAGTCATCTCTTGGTGAGTGATGACCATAGCAGGAGCATGGGGGCGGGGCAGGGTGAGGGGATCAGCGTCTTCCCATGGTGAGATGGCCTGCCTCCACGTTTCTGTGGGTGGGTGGCATGACTGCTGCAACATCTGGTGGCAGGGACCACCATCGCCAGCCAAACGACCAAGTCTGAGAAGGCACTGCTGTACAGGTTAGTGGCGGAGCATGAAAGCATTGACCTTGCCACCACCAGGAGCAGCTCCACCACCTCCTGCCGCCGTGCCTTCTGACACATGGCTGCGGAACGGGTGTCTGCCCTTCCTTCATCCAGATGGAGATGTTCACTCTGAAGTGCTAGAACGATTCCTTCGCTCTGCTCGAAAGTACGTCCAAGCCCTCATGACCAATGGTTTTCTTTACAAGCAGGTGATGGGGGAGGATCTGCTAGGAGCAGAGGCCATCATGCAGGCACCACCCTTGTGGTGGTGGGTGGCCACAGTGTTGAGGTCCTCTGTGGTGAGTGTCATGGTCCATGGTCACTACTACCACCTGGCTCCAGCTGTGGGGGCCAGGTGCTGCCACCCACTGCCTCCAAACACCCCCCTCCATTGTCCCGACTGATGTCCCTCCACCCCACAGACAACTCACAAGGGGGGGGTGCTGCCATGGGCCCATTCTCTAAGGCTGGCAGGGGGCCAAGGATGCAATAGCAGCTAGAGCAGATGCGGAAGGAGAAGGGCGACTCCATGGAGAAGGGCGACTCCACCATTGTCAGACCCCCCCTTTCCACAGCTGGAGTTCTCCTACAACACTCTTGGGACCTTTCACCAAAGATCCCACCCCCATGTGTCTAGCTGTTATGAGTGGCATCTGAGTGACGGGGAGAAGTACCAAGGCAGCTGGGCTCCCAGGCCCAAGGCTGAGGGACGTGAGGTGCCTCCAGTGGGGCTGGGGTGCAAGGGCTCAGTGCCTGCCTGGGAGCTCCCGTGGAGTGACTGCTGTGTTTTCCACTGTGCCCAGATCCCTATTCTCTGGTGTTCTGTTGTCATGTACCAGCTACGCACCCTGACCCCAAGGAGGCACACAGCAACAGCAGCCTCCGTGACCCTGTAGTTGTAGGGGTCCCAGTGCCTGAGGAGGAAGTGACAGAGAGGGTGGATGCTGCATCTTTGGATGGCAGTGCGCCTTCTGTTTAATCCTGACCCGAATTCCTTTACCTTTTTAATGCTGACAGATCATTATGAACCTAATTGGCTGAAATTAGTCCAAAAAAACCCCATGATGGACATGTTCCCAAAATCGGCCAATGCCATATCCCAGTTCTTTTATATGCACATGACGCCGTTTTACTCTCATGTTCTCGAATCTGACTGAGGCGTCTTTTAACCAATGCTTGACCTACTGTAACAACAACAGGTTAACTTTGAATTATGGGGAAACAAAGATCCTAGTTTTTTCCAAATCCTGGAAACAGTTCACATGGACAATCCAGGGAAATCCCATTGAGCAGGTCAAATCATTTAAATACTTGGGGATCAATTTCTTCTACAATGGGAGCTGGGTTACTCACCGCAAATGTGCTACTACTCTAGCAAGAAACAGTGCTGAGGCCATCGCCCGCTTTTTCCACTCGAGAGGCAATAGATATGTCCCAATGGCCTTAAAAGCCTTCAATGCAAAATCTAGTTCACAATTTCTGTATGGTGCTCCCATTTGGATAAGCACAACCAATCAGCAAAGGGTTTATAATCTTGAAACCGGCCAAATGCTGCTGGAAACTCGGGCCTGGATTCTGACCATCAAATTCTGGCTGCGCCTTCTATTTAATCCTGACCCGAATTCCTTTACCTTTTTAATGCTGACAGATCATTATGAACCTAATTAGCTGAAATTAGTAAAAAAAAAAATTAGGTCTTTAGGAATACATCTAGACCCGCTTTACTCATCATCGGCCTCCACAATATTTTATACAATGAAACGCAGGCTTCTACATATTCAATTTCAGTGCCTGACTGAGGCAGCCAGGAAAACCTGTTCCCCAGTTCATCTCGGATTATCCCAGACACTGGGCCAGACAGCTATTTATTTTTGTTCTCTAACTGATCACCATCAAAGAAGGGCATTTATGTTAGCCAGATTAACGTATTGCCATCGGCCATCTTTTCTGGAAGATGCCCAAAAATCCCCTATGAATTTAGGCAATGCCCCCGCGGTCAAGGTGCTATCGAATCAGTTTCCCATGTTCTTTTAAATTGACCGTTTTCTACTAAGACTTGAGGAAAATTTCTGGACACCCTTCTTTTTACATGGTGTGGTCTTCCTGAGAGTATCAAGGTCCAGTTGCTACTCTCTGGGCAAAACACTTCTATAACTTTTAACGTTGCTTGTTTTCTTCAATCTGTAATTCGAACCAGGGAAACTATTAATTGATCAGTTCTTTTTTGTTGGCTGTTCAACAGCCATACCTTTGATGTCTTTAATGTTATCTCTTACATGCCAATAAAGGTTGTCTGTCTGGGTGGCAGTGGCCGTTCCCCAGCAGATGGGGGCAGTGGCAGAGCAGCTGCCCTTGCTGCTGGTCTGGAGGAGGGAGAGGATTCTGGCCCCTCACCGGGCCCCCGGGCATGGGTCCTGCATCTGTGGCACAGCCCATCCCACCCCACCCTTTTCTCCATGTGGGTGGCAGTTGAGCGGGAGCGGCTGGAGAGCTGTCATGAGTGGTGGGAAGCATTCTTCAGGTTGCAGCAATGGGATGGAGGGACTGGCAGTATCTGTAACAGTGGCCGCCAGGCATCTGGAGGGGCTTTTTGTCATAGTGAAGGATGTGGGTGAGTGACAAGGGTGCATCAAGAGGCTGCTGGGGAACCTGTCGTCTCTGCAGGCTCCCCCCAACAGCCCCTGCTCCTCCTCCTCATGTGCCTCCAAGCAAGGCTGGTATGCGGGTTGGCACTGGGATGCCCTCAATAGTGTGGGCACTCTACTGGACACCACGGCTGGCAGTGAGTGGGAGGCACCTTCATTTCCACATTCTTGTCCATTGTCACCCTCTGGGTCCTGTGTGCAAAGCATCACCATGGGATGCCCGTGAGGCTGGGTGATGTGCCCCCCCCCCACATACACTGACAGGTGGTCAGGGCTTGTAATGGGACCTGATCTCTTTAAGGGTGTGTGTGCAGCAGAGCTGGAGCATTGTTCCTGTTGCCCACTCCTCTCTGCCAGTGAGGGACGCTTCGCTCAGCCTCCTTGACTCATGACTCCCATTGGTCCTGCTTGCCTTGTCTATCACACTGGTTCCGCCTTGCAAGAGTGCTGGAATGGAATGCTGCAGTGGGATCGCCGCCACCACAGCAGCACCCAGCAACGCTGTTGGGGCAGCTTTTATCAGCTGCTGCGGAACTATCCCTGTAGAGAGGTGACTGGCAGTGCCACAGCTGCACCACAGCAGTGCAGGCGCAACACAGGATTGCTCTGCCTGTATAGAAACCAGACCCTTTGAATATATGAAGGAGTTGGTATACAATTAATATAAATTTAAGTGTAGTAGTTTTAAGTGGGATTAAAAGTAAGGCAAATTCTGAATGAGGGGAGAACGGATAATGCATGGTAGAGAAGATGAATGTGAGGTGCAGTCTTACACTTTGTCATCAAATCTCAGGAGGCTGAAGAGATGTGGGGAGAGGTGTAGGTATATTTCTGGGCAGTCCAGTGTCTTCACCCTTTTTGTTTTTGCCTTATTTAATGGCCACTTTCTAAAACAATTCATTGAGTTAATGGCAGTTGCATTTGTGCTGGGGTATTTCAAGTTATTTCTCTCCCACAGTATCAGAAACCACCAGAGATTCTGGCTGCAGAAGAGGAACTACAAAAGGAGCTTAATAAGATCAAGGCAGCTAATGATGGAGATGGAGAATGCAAGACGCAATAGCTGCAGAACTTTGCTACTGGTAGCCGGTTGCAAACAGATTTTTTTCTGTCATTTCAGACACAACCATTTTAGCAACTGGCTGTTAACGGATTTTATTTACGTTTTCATAGAAAGCTGCTTGCGTCTGGTTAGCAAAGGGTGGTTGAGCCATTCTTGAGGTAAACTGCTTTCTTCCTTTTGCACATCTGAATCACTGTAGTGTGCTGTTTAAAATGTCTGCAGTGCTTTCAATAGCAATTTCTTGCCCCTGTTCACTGCATGATCTTCCTTAAACTTTTTTTAATGTTCTAAGTTGAGTGCTATAGTGCTAGACCAATATAGCACTTCAGTGCTACAGCAGCACCATTGAGATACATCGAGAAGTGCTATATTGGTCTAACACTATAGCGCTCAACTTAGAATGTTCAAAAAAAGTTCAATAACCCCGGGGGGGGGGGGGAGCATGGTGCTGTTTGAAATGGCCTGATTGCTTCAGAGACAGCTTATTACCACTTTGCTCAGAACTGAGCCAACAATGGATAACATCGGGTTTAGAATGGTAATGTGACGGGTCTAAGTGTGTTCTCTATGTATGTTTTAAAAGTTTCCATATTTATGTATATCAACACCATTTCTGAAGTTTAAAGGCTGGGCCAACATTTTTCTGACTCCTATTTCCCTCAGGACATTTCCAGTTGATTGAAAGACAACGGTCAAGTAAGAACACAAAGTGTATTTGAAATGTGGCGGAATTACCTTTGACTTTTCAAGGGATATTTAAATAAGTACAGTATCAGTTGATGACTTTTCTCTGTTTGGCCCATATTTGATACTGTCACACTTATGTAAAATTTAAAGCATTACTCCCTCACCCTAAAACTCTACTTTTCATTTTATAGTGCTTATTTGATCACACTGGTACCTTTCCTTTTAAAACAAAAGCAAATTTGCTTCCTTTCATGCAAGTTCTATATTGAACATATGTGACAACCTACAAAACCTCATAGCTATCTTCATGCAAATGTTTTTAAAAGGATTTTCTAAAAAATCCAACCACAAAGAAAAGTACACGATGCATGCCTACATCCTACACTGCACAGTCCAGAAGTCAAAGTCTCAAAACCAATTCTACAAGAGCAGCCATTTCCCACTTCAGATGGGACAAAGTCAAAGCAAATATGAACCCCATAACTCTATGGAACAAATATCAGCTAGTAGTAGGATGCTAAAGGAATATGTCAAATGAATGCTGAAGTGTTTGCTACAAAGTACTGACAGGGTCCAGGGTATTCTGCTAGTGCCTGGGTATATTGTACAGTGTACTGAGGATAAATTATTCACTCCTCTGACCCTTTCCGGCTGCTTTTAGGTCTTATTAGTGAATTCCATCCTCAGCTCGCAGCTGAATGTCAGATACATATTTCTGCCCCTGTGTGAGAGGAGTTCATCTATTTCTGTACTGAATTTTGTAGAACAGTGGTACTCACGGAAAGGCACATTCACAGCTACCATCAACCAAGAGCCATAGGACTACTGCACGCCTTATATAACACCTCACCAAACATAAAACAACATCACATATAACCGTTACTAAATATATAGCTATAATACTGTTAATTACAAGAGTACTTCTAAACATGTAAATTTGTCCCTACCACGGCTGAACCTTAGCCAGTCTTCATGTAGCTAGGTTGAGGGGAAGGTCTTGCAGAGCAGACTTTTGACCCAAAACAGCATGTGAGTTTTTTAGGTTCTCCATAACTATAAGGGAATGTATTAAATAAATGCTTCTCTTATGTCAAAAGCCACCCAGGTGCTAAGATGAGAGCACAGAAGCTGCAGAGAAGGGGGTGGGCTTGTTAGAGAAGATGGGCTCTTCCATCTCTACCATGAGGCCTGCTGCTCAGGGACACTCAGAGCTTACACATTCTCCAGTGTGCTGCTGTTTCAAGATGGGGAACCACCTGCCAGTTACAAGCCCCATCAGGCAATGGCCATGCCCACTTTCCAGAAGCATGGGTGCCACAAAGGGGAACTGTGCTCAGAGGAGTCACTGAGCATCAATGCTGCAGAAGGGATTACATGATGAGTGGATGAGCAAATAAAACAGTGTGATCATACACATCAGTACAGACCCACCACTAGCCATTTAATTATTTTGAAATTCAAGGTTCTTGATTACAGACTCCTTGTGTTCCTCTAACAATTTATTCAACACACTGACTTGACAGCATCATTCCAATGAAGTACTCCTTGTGTGTACCCAAACACCAATGGTTAAATCTGGTACAATATATACATCCAACTAAAAGGCTTCAAACTTACAGTCCAATGGTTATTTAAGAGGAAGTGATGAATGTCAGTAAAGTGGCAGGAAAAAGCTATTTCACTGTCTTAGCCACGTCAGTGTCCAGGTTACAGCCCTTTCCTGCCAATGTTAAGTCCAGCACAAGGTTTATAACCTTGGAGTTGGACTTAAAAGCATGCAGAAGCCGATACTGGATACACATAAACCAGTATGTACGTCTCCCAACAAGTTTTCTGAATACAGCCTTCATTAGAAGTTACTTTAAAAACACAAAAGAGGTACAAAAATAAGCCGGAGAGAGGCATTAGCCTTTATTGAATCCAAAAGGCAGGTGAACTCCGATGTGGGTCTTCCTCAGCACTTAGGATGCTCCTTGCCTCACGAATATTCTTCTCGGCGCTGCTCTCCACGATGGGTACCAGTTCTGCAGTCCTGGCCGCTCCTTGGCTGTGTCAGGTGGTGAAATCAAGGGCATGCAGTGCAGATGCCAGGGTGGCATAGAGGTGGGTGGTGCTGAAGCGCAGGCAGTACACGGGGCTGCTGACTGGTGGAGATGACAGAGAAAAGCTCTGCAAAGCAGTAAGAAAGTTTCTTCTAGGTAAGAGATTTAAACTGTTGAGCAATAACAGCCAGTGAGAAATAAACAACCCCATAGCTCCCACAGGGCTACACTTCAGCTGCACGGCTTCCTTGCTGCCTTTACAAGGGGAACACCATGGTGGCAGGAGCGGGGCCAGCATGCCCCTGTGGATGAGACAGAGGGCACTGTCTGACCTTTTTCTGAACAAAACTAGCTTATGGCAGGAGCAATAGCTTGAAAAATAACCACTAGGAAAATGTATCCGGATGTCTTTAGAGTTGAACTAAGAACCTGAAGACACATGTCACTTCGTCCCAAAGGACAATTACTTGCTGTGCCTATCTGCTTGTATGGAATTCAACAGAGAGAATTCTCTGCTCTAGGAGCTTGTGAAGCAGCTGGGTTGTCATAGCCTTGTAAGACAGAGGCTTGCTTATGGTGGCTGCATTTCTATCCCACCGCCTCTCCAAGGAACTCAAAGTGACATGCATGTTTCTTTCCCACTCTGAAGTATGCTAAACTGATAAACAGTGAGACTGGCTCAAGGTTGCCTAGAGAGGTATATGGCTGAAAAGGTACCTGAGTCCAGGTCTTCCTTATCTATGCATTTTACCACACTGGGTTCAAGAAGAAATCTGAGGAAGTAACATCCCTCACTGTTCTTGTGAGGCTCCTCCATTCAGCTCAATCCCCAACCCACTTTTAGGAACATACTTGCCAGTGCCTCACCTGTAGGCACCTGTTTTGCCTTTTATCCCAAAGGCGGACCACACCATAATAAGAAGAGCCACTTGCGATCATGTGATTCCCGTTGCTCCTTATACAGTACAGGGCACTATCATGAGGCTCTTCCCATTTTTTTACACACTCCCTATGGGGGGAAAAAATACAATCCCGTAAGACGGTGCTTTAGAGTATTCTCCACCAAGCACTTGTTCTCCAGCTCTTCTACAGGTAGTTTAGAAAGCTGGTTACAAGATCCTTTCCAACCAGCTCAGAAAACCAGGTAAATCCACATACTAACCTTGTGCTTGTCCTTAAATCCCAATACCGGATGTAGGTATCATACCCACAAGACAGCAAAGTGGAAGGTGTTTCATAGAAAACATCCAAGACTCCAGCACCTCGGTGGAACTCTGTTCCAAGGCATGTGACCAGCTGTCCACTGAAAAGAGATCCCAAGAATAAACTGAAATACCCGTTACCTACACATCAAAATCCGTGGAAGTCTTTTGTTTAAATACAGCTTTTCTGCAAGTGCAGATTTTGGACCAAACAGTTAAATGACCAGCCAAATGTGATAAAAGTTCAGGTTAGTTTTTGGCTAGCAAAAGAAATCACACATTGCACAAAGGTATTATCAGTACAAAGAAGAAATAGCTGTTCTCTGAAAATGTAAAAACTCAGCAGTTATTTAGCTCTGCCCTTTGTACTAATGAGGAGACAGAGAACAGAAGAGAAATGGCTAGTCCTTATAGCAAAACTGGAAATTAATTTTCAATAACATGCTAGGTATTATTTGTTATATTAAAAATATATATCCAGCTTTTCAAAAAAAGAAATCCACTGAATAGAGTGGTTTTATACCATTATAAAACAACAATTAAAACACATTCAAGAAAAATGATAAACTAAATAAAAGAAACCAGCAACAACAAGGCAAAACAAAACTTGGAAGAATAAAAAACTCTAGAAATCTACCCAGCTAACCAACAGCCTTCTGAAATAAAAAACAGTACCTGAACACCAACCACGTAGATTCCAGGTGGAAATATGAGCCATCACCGGGCAGAAGACTCCAGCCCTGTTCACCACCCACCTTAGTATGGAAGGCAGTGGGAACTGTATTCAGTCTAAATGATGTAAATCTAAATGCACTGAGCAAGTTTAATGCAGCAAGCAGTGCTTCAGATATCTTATGCAGAGACCATATGGAACCAAAAGAAATTGAAATTGGGTAGTGTTAGGTTGTTCCCTTAATTATGCAAGTGTGAAGAAGAGACAAAAGATACACACCTGGCTGAAATATAGTTATACCTACAGGACACACACGCAGAGGTTTGTCTATCTCTAGGCACATGCTGTTCCCCAGGATGGGAGTTCAACTGCTTGGTGAACAGGGAACTGTGCAACTGTGTCTGAGAAAAGTCTTCACCAAAGACAGTAAAGTCTCAACATGTGAAGGACTCCAGCAAAAGCCCACCCTGGTAGATTGGAGAAACACATAATAGAGTGAAAAAACAGAATGTGTTGGGCATAACTGTGCTTCTCCAGGGGCTCTATGTACATTGTCCTTGTGCTAACAGCCCTAAGCTATCTTCTCTTGTCTACACATACCTGCCCAGCAAGGAAAGAGTCAGCTAAATCCCAGATTAAAGCTAGGAAGTCACTGATGAATTGTAAAAGAGTTGAAAACTGAAAAACAGCTCTTAAAAAGGCCTGTGTATTACAGTGGTGAGCTGCCTTCTGCAGCCATTCTTAGGACAAAGTTTGAGTCCAGAGGAGCCTTTAAGACCAAAAAAGTTTTATTCATTTATTTGTACCCATAAAGGTGCCACTGGATTCAAAGTTTGTTTTGTTGCATCAGACCAACATGACTACCCAACTGATTAATTCTTAGGGCAGTTATTTCAGTGTATGTGCACACCTGAAACTCTATGAATATGGCAAAGGAATGTTAAAAAATATTTATCAGGACCAAGCATATGCCAAAGAACCAGGATTGAGAATGATCACACACACACATTTGGACAGCAATCATCAATTTACCACTCTGCAGTGGAGGGGAGATTGGATTTATACCCCACCCTTCACTACCCAAAGGACTCTCAGAGTGGTTTACAATCTCCTCTCCCATCCCCTCCCCAAAACAGACACCCTGTGAGGTAGGTGGGGGTGAGAGAGCTCTCTCAAGAACTGCTTGTGAGAGAACAGCTCTGAAACAACTTGTAACTGACCCAAGGTCACACCACCAGCTGCATGTGGAGGAGTGGGGAATCAAAGCCAATTCTCCCAGATTAGAGTCTGCACTCCTAACCACTACACCAAACTGAAGCAGCCCTTGGTTTCCAGTTCTGCCTACCTCTGAACAATTCAAGAAATTATGCTGTTCCTAAGAAACATTTCCCAGTTTACTACACTTCAGGCAGTTTTTCCAGAATTCAGAAGTATATTCCTGAGGCATCCTTTTACTTCAAGGCTTGCTAACGTTCCACTGTATTCACAGCTCCCACAGAGAGTCAAGTTGTACAGCCCACTCAATTTGATCCTTGTCTTCCAGCATTCTCTTGTGTGTTAATGTTAGTGCTAGAAAGATAAGGTCATCCTCATCCAAATCCTTCTCAGTGGTAAGATTTCTCTGTGCATGCCAAGCAACAAGATTCAAGAGAACTACCTGAATGTTTGCTAAGACATCTAAACCTTGGCTTTGCACTAACTGAAAGTCTGAGCACATTCCCATTATCTGAACCAGCCTTTGATCAGTTTTACTATGGAAAAACTATCCAGTGCTGTTTCAAAGACTCCCAGTCTCACAACTGTAATTCAGATAGGTTGTTCTGTTTTGCTGGAGCACCAAAAGCAACATAATTTTACAGAGATAACTGCAGAGTTAGAAATACAGCAACGGCTTCTGGAAACATCTGAATGGGGCTGCCCCATGAAAGAGTCTTGCGTGTGTTTTGGGTAAGGCAGCTGAGTGGTCTCATTTGTTCCTTACAGCTACTGGCTCTCTTTATTACAGACAACTAAAACTTAATCCCCCCTCATGGATCTGCCTTGTTGTGGCGAGGGGGCTTGCGTGGTTCAATGAAGCTGTGGGCTATGCCGTGGAGGGACACCCAAGATGGACAGGCCACAGCAGAGAATTCAGACCAAGCGTGATCCCCTGGAGAAGGAAATGGCAATCCACTCCAGTATTTTTGCCAAGAAAACCCCATGGACAGTATAAAAAGGCTAAAAGATATGACGCCGGAAGATGAGCCCCTCAGGTCGGAAGGTGTCCAATATGCTACTGGGGAAGAGCAGAGGGCAAGTACAAGAAACCCCAGTAAGAGTGAAGCGGCTGGGCCAAAGCCGAAAGGACGCTCAGTTGTGGATGTGTCTGATAGTGAAAGTCCGATGCTGCAAAGAACAATACTGCATAGGAACCTGGAATGTAAGATCTATGAATCAAGGTAAGCTTGATGTGGTCAAAAATGAGATGGCAAGACTGAACATGGATATCTTAGGAATCAGT